GAATATTTTAGGTGCTATTCGAATAGTTCAAACTAAAGTTGACATAATTGATTTAATTAATCTAGTTGCATAAGCGCTGACCCAGATTGACTCCAAACATTAGTAGTTGGAAGAAACTTGAAGGAATCAGAAAACGGAAAAAAGTTAGAAAAATTGGAAGGAGTTAAAAATACTTAGAAGAGTTGGAAAATATTGGGATGAGTGAGAAGAAACTAAATGAAATTAGAAAATTTAGAAAAATAGTGAAAAACTAGAAGATTTTGGTATTACTCCTTCCGTCCTCCAGTTTTTGTCCAGTTTTGACTTTTGGAACTGTTCATCTAAGCACTTTGATTCATCAAATTCTCTCAATGTGTAAGCCTAAATATAGTCATGTGTGATCTTGTTTGATTTGTCTTAACATATAGATTATTAATATATAATTTTTATAATTTTTTAATATACAAATTACAAAATAAAATGGAATAAAAAAGTGCATTGAATGGTGTGTAAAAATGAAAGTGGACAAATACTCTGGGACAGAGAGAGTAGAAGTTAAAAGCTAGAATTTAAACGAACATACACTAACAACGAAATGAAAAGTTATGTGTTAGTAACGAAATGTGCATTGTACAATTACTAAATATCCATGCATCAATTTTATTATATAGTCCCTATATATCCCAATATTTTCCAACTCTTCTAAGTATTTTTAACTCTTTCCAATTTTTTTAACTTTTTTTCGTTTTTTGACTCCTTCAACTTTCTTCCAACTACTTCAAATTTCTTCTAACTGTGACTTAAAAAAATTTATAGATATTTTCAATTATTATTATTATCTCAATAAGATAAAAAAATGAATTAATGTCACGATTTAATAAAAAATTTATTATCGGGATTAATTTAAGTTATTATTATAGAGGCAATGAAAATTATTAAAATACGGAATATTAGTTTATCGAAAAAAATCAAAACTGGACAAATAGTCAGAAACGGAGTTTGTAATATTTTTCTATATTTTGGAAAGGAATAGGGAGTAGGGGTATAATTTTTATCTTGTGGGCCCTAGTAGGAGTAAGTAAAACTTGCGGGCTACTACTACTAAAAAAAAGAGTTGATCGATTCCAACAACCGTCTGAACTGGGAATCGGCGCCTTCTTCTTCGCCCCATTATTATTCTTTGCTTTTGACCTTCTGCACTCTCTCTCTCTCTCTCCTTTCTCTCTCTACACTCCTCCCTCAGCTACTCCTCTCTCTCTCTAGAACATTTATGTATCCAGGTGTATGATGAATTTATAGACTTATTGACATTGTTACAGTCGTGATCAATGGCGAGTTATCCGGTTCTCCCGTCCGAAACTCCGGCGCCGATCGTTTACGCCTCGTCGTCGTCGTCTTCTGAAGCTGTTGCGGCGGAAGACGACGGAGGATTCGAAGACGGATGCATCATTTGTCTGGAGCCGTTCAGTTCTAGCGATCCTCCTACTGTACGCCCCCGCGCGCTCTCTGACTCTCTGTATATATGACTCTGTGTTACGCATGCAATGTGTTGTTGACCACTTGATAGATGATTCGTTCCTGATATTTTGAAACTTCATCTGTTTGATTCTCAATTCTGAGTTTTTTATGTGATTGTTGAATTTGTGCTGGTTGAATTTTTGTTTATACTGAGTATAATGTTAATTAGGTTGTGCAAATTGATTATGAACTGTATGCATATTGCGCAAGTGGATGGTGTTATTAGGGTTCTCATGGTTAAGATTTTTGTTGTTTTATGGAGATTTATCCTCTAGACTAGATGTTTGTGAGCAGGCGAGGAGTTAAAATCCGTGTGGTTTAAGTCATGGAGGAATTGGATGGATTGTAAAGCCATCAAAGATGACAGCCTCATTTGTTGAATAATTCTTGAAGGACTTGTTATTATTATTATTTGGTGAACATCACGGAGTCAATTGATGTGTTTGGTTGATCTTTCCATATTCATTACATTGTGTGGATTTCATTAATACTCTGATAACATAGAGTAACTTTTGATTATCATGTGGAATGTGGTGATAATTTCCTTCTTCCTTGATGACAAGTCAGACCGGTTATGATGGTTGGATTATATGATGGTAACGATTAATTCTAAATCTCTGATGTTGTGTTGTCCGTTGTCTTTTCCAGGTTACCAAATGCAAACATGAATATCACTTGCAGTGTATACTTGAGTGGTATGCTGTGTCATTATGGTCGTAATTTATTTTAAGAACCGTTTACCTTTTGTGTGTCTTGAGCATTGGGTATTTTTGTTTAGGTCTCAGAGAAGTCAAGAATGTCCTATTTGTTCAAGGCAAGTTGTATTGACAGAACCTGCCAGGTACTCAATATCTTTTTATCCAAACAGACCACTCACTACCGTGCTTAAAGCAAAGATTTTTCTTGGTTGGGAATTACTAGTAGTTATCAATAGTTTTTTTCCTTTCATGTAATCTGCATTCTGCTAAAACAATTCTTGGTATCCAGCCAAGAGCTGCTGGTTGCAGTGGAGACCGAAAGGAATGCAAGGTCAAGGTGTAGTGTGCACTATGCTCCTGAAATTCACGAAAGCAACGACATGGAAGATGGGGTAAGATTTTGTAGAATAAATTGTAGTACCTGTTTTTACTGTTGCTGCATTTCAATTTGCAACTTCAACTTATGGTTTCCTCCCTAGGATGTTTCTGATCTTGAAGAGAGGATAATTCGACGCTTTGCTGATCTTACCAGCAGAGCTCGCTCTATTAACAGAAGGATAAGACACACGTCTTCAATTCTTTCTTCTGTTCCTACAGAAGCTGGTTCAATTCCGCATCAAATGAGTGACTCCTCAGAAGAGTCTCGAGGGAGAACTAATGAATTTCTTCGGAGTGGTATGCCACCTTCTAGGATCTCATTGAGTACAATTGATGCATCCCCTTCTTTGTCAATCTCGCCGCCTATATCAAATGTAGCCACTGCTACTCCAGCAAGTGGGGTTGACTCAATTAAGCTTTGGTATTCTTCTTTCTTTATTTTTTTGTTCAAGAAGACGGTTTATTGATTCTTGCAATCTCTAACTTGTTTTAATACTCCTACATATGCTCGCATCTTCTTTCTTATCTGAACTGTTTTCCTTTGCAACCTTTGTGCCTTTGCTATTCTTTTTCTAACGACTCTAGAAACTTTTCAGTGGATCATCCCCTGAGAATCAGCAAAGGTCAAGCTCATCTGATTTGCTTGCTTTCTCAGAGTCCATAAAATATAAACTCTCTGCTGCTTCATCCAGGTAGGGGAGTTTAAATANCCCCCCCCCCCAAAAAAAAAAGGGCCCACCTTGAAGATCTATTTTTCTCCCACAAAAAAAAAGAATTTTTTTAACAAAATAAAGTAACTTTCATTATATTTGATGTATTTAAAAAACCCCAAACTAATAAAGTATATTAACTCTTGTTAAACCAACGAACAATACTCCTATAGTTGTACATCACTAAAATAAAAAATGTTGAAACAATACTTCAAAAACAAATAGTTGAGACATCGTGATCATTGGTCAGGTACAAGGAAACATTCTCAAAAAGTACACGAGGGTTTAAGGAAAAATTACTAGCTCGGAATACAACCGTCAAGGAACTTGGCAAAGAAGTACAGCGAGAGATGAGTGCAGGTATTGCTGGTGTTGCCAGAATGATTGAGAGACTCGATCTTAGTTCAAAACGTGCTACTGCTTCTGGTCCTTTACCCAGCAACACAGTGGAGGGGTGTGTAACTTCTCAATTCCTAGATGGCAATACCCAGGAATCTACAAGCAAAATGAGTTCTAATATAACCTCTTTACCCTGCACAAAGTATTCCAGATCAAACTGATATTTCTGTTCAACAGGTATTCGATCTTTACATAACAATTGCTATTCTTTAATATATCCTGAACCTTTTCGATCTTCTGTATTATAAAACCTTCTTCGAAGTAACATAAGACTCCCGGCTTGTAGACTTCTGGCCTTTTTTATACAGTAAAGATTGATATATTGTTGGAGCCTTACTCGACTAAAACCAGAATCCTTTTATGTTCGATCAGGCATATACCTAAGTTTGACTATTGCCTAGCCCCATAAACCCAAGGGATATTACCCCAAACATGGTATGAGACACATTTTACTGACCCAATTCATCTCAGTGGTTGGTTTCATGCACCATTGTCAACATGTAAACTGGTTTAGAATATCTCCTTGTTAATGATCTATCACTAACTTCACATTTTTCCCTTTCATGTCAGGGGAGACAATTTGTTCCAGTTTAGAAGAGCAGAAGATGGGCGGTGAGATATGCATAATCTGCAAGTGACTGAAAAGAAATCAAATTCATCCCTTCCTCAGGGACTTGAAGGTTTTTCACTGGCAAAAAGAAACTACACTTTACCTACGTTATTTCATTTCTTTATTTACTTCAAACCAAACATAAGTTAAACCCAAATCCATTATCTTAATGGATTGATGCAAGTTCTAAAAGTAAATCATATCAGTTGCTAAATTGCACCCTTTACTGCATACATTCTCGTATGCGTTTCAATAGTTCGACTCTCCAAGGCCTAAATACGCGAGTCTACAAGGTACGGTGTACGTAAACATGGATGAGCCATTTTCTTGCGAAGAAACAATGGTACTGGGGGGCTTAGGGGGTGGGTTAGGGGGGGATGAGAACCGTCAATTTTGCATAAATCTCAGTTTTTGAAAACCGACCATAACCTTTCGATTACATCAATTTGGTTTTTTCAGCTTTCCCAAATTCGGGTCAATCTTCAAGAACCAAAATAAAGTCCAACCGAGAACGACCGAACCGACCGCGAAAAAATAGATAAAGGACGTGATTATAGTTTGACTATGCAAATACTACATATTCAAGTTAAATTGTGATTGATGGAGTAAAATTTTAGAAAAACAAACCCAAATAAAAAACATATAAAGGTAATTATGAAACGGATAAAGTCCTAATTGCGCAAGAAAATAAAAGATGCAATTGTCAAAGGTCATTTACAGCGTTTGTTGACCAAACATACATCATAAATCAAAGCTTTCAAGTGCCAACCATTGTTCATCAAAGGAATAATAATGAGATTTGACAGAAAAATAGTTCTCCTTATAACGTTTTCCGCACAAAAATGTGACTATTATAGTATTATTATGGTATACAGCAACTTTGCCCAAAGTAATATCCATTTTAATGAATGCACAAAACACAGTCCTATAAAAAACCATATTAAGCTGTTATCAGGTCTTCCGCTCACCCAATCACATGTTGCCGTCGTCTACCGTTGTCAAATGCCAGCAAGAGTTTTGCCACGTGTCGCCATAGCCGCGGATGATGCGCGCCGAAAAAGGGACCTGTTTTTATATTAACATGAAAAGAAAAGACCAAACGAGAGCATAAATAAAAGGTGTCAAAATGAAACGCTAATCACACAATAAGCGTTTTCGGCCCTTGCGTAAGCAACCACTCCCCCCTCTAGTTACTAACATGTAGTAGTGCAAAATGATGATCAAAGTAATCCTATGACATGGCCATTGAAGGATTACAACTTGTACCCTGTATTGTTCAAGTGTAGCCAACCCCCCAATCCAAGGAGTGTACTAAGTGACGATTGTTTAGATCATACACAAGAAATTCATGCGTATGGTCGAAACAAGAAACAAGCATATATTAGACGGAAAGAAATGGCATCCTATATAAAGATCAAATAAATTGCTTACTATTTCTTTAGCGCATGATACTTTTCGATGCTTCGATACCAATCCCATTGGAAACATAGAGCCACGACCCTCATAAGGCCGGCTGTAAAGACCTCAACGAAAGCCATGCGAAATGATCTTTGAGGAGATAGACCAGCAGTGGCTATAGATAGCATGAACCCCTCAAAGTTGCATGGAACAAAAAAATTTCCAGATCTCATTCCATCCCAAGCTTTCTTGGCAACTTCTTCAGCTTTCACGGTACCAGAAGAAGCTGCTATTATACTCGTAAGCGGCGGCCTCCTTTTGTTCTCTGCATGATTGCTGAAAACTATCAGGGGAAAAAAATTACGGATATCAGGGACAAATAAAAACAATTTCGTTTTCAATACCTTCAGCAAGGCCAGGAGTATCAGTGTCAGGAGGAAATATTAGAGATACGTGAATGTTGTCTGCAACAACCTCCTGCTGCAGTGCTTCTGCCAGACCTCTGAGGCCGAATTTAGAAGCCGAATAACCTGTATACCCGAAGATGCCAGCCTAAAAAAGATCATAGAGCTTGTGATAAACAACTTTTGTTAAGAATAGTTAGGGAGAATGAATCAGAGAGTAATTTCTTCTATGGGCAACTTCCGGCCGCCACTCACTCGTTGGCCACTTTCACTTACCATTCACCAATGCCTGCTGTCATCCACCACCGTCCAATACAATGACAACAACAGACCCAGTGAAATCAAATAAAAAGTAGGGTGTCAAGAGCAGCTCAAACTTGGGCCCCGTGTTCGAGTTTGAATGAACCATGGGAGATGGGACTAATGCAATACTTTCAATTTGGTGAGAGAGTAAAATTGAGCAAGGGCAATACCTGGCCGGCCTGAGATGACACGATTCCAATCAATCCCGGTCCACGGTTTTCCCTGGTCTTCATTCCCGGCAATGCAGCTTTGATCAAATTAAAAGTCCCCAGTAAATTTACATCAATCATGAACTTCACCTCATCCAGATCCTGATTCTCCAGCTCCCGCGGCATAACCACCCCATGATTACTGACCAGAACATCGATGGGGCCAGCCTCTTCCACGGCCTTCTTCAAGGCATCGTAGTCTCTAACATCGGCGCTAAATATGTCAATGTCACGTCCGGTGGAGAGCCTGATCTCTCGCTTTGCGGCCTCGAGTTTATTGGAATTCTGAGCTAATATCGACACTCTAGCGCCTTCTAAAGCGGCTTGGTGAGCTAAAGCCAAGCCAATGCCGCTGGAGCCTCCGGTTATGAAGACATGGCGATTCTTGATCGAGATTTTCACGGGACGAGGCCGGACGATGAGGTAGAGGAAGATGATGAGGGAGAGTGGGGGAAGAAGAATAAGAAGATAGAGCAGAGAGAGACCTGAATCCTCCATAGATGAGATCTGGTTTACTCCCAAGGTGGATGAGTTCCTAGTACCCAAAAAAGTACTCCGTACATAAGAAGAAGCTTGAGAAATCAAATTGAAATAACATACTCATTATGTCCCATAATTATCTTCTTGACATGATTTTTAATAATGTAAAACTCGTATGGTTGTAGTTTGTGCAAAGAGAAAAAGAAATTATATAGACCACACAACCCTTTCTTTAAAGAGAAAGTGGGAGAAATTTGAGACAACCCAAATAGAGAAGTAGAAAGATAATTATGAGACGCAGAGAAAAACTAATTTTAGAATAAATATTAGAAACTTCAACATTGATAATGTAATTCTAACTTTATCATTGAAATACAAATATATCTTGCATTACTTTTGTCAACTTATTCTTTTTGAGTGCAGATTTGAAGACTCATTATCAATGTTGGAGCGTCAATCTAATCTTATTAAACACAAATACTAATAAAAATACAGAGAGAATAAGGTTACATTAGAGTATTTGGCCAAAAAAATACATAATAAGAAAAAAGGTTTGAAATGAAAACTATTCTTTGGAACTTTCACTCCCTTCTATTGTTGCATCCTCCATACAATACGGAGGAGGTGTAATGGTTAGTTCTTGCTGATGGAATCTTGTAAGAAACCTATTGGGGTAGAATACTAATGTCTCAAGTGACTCAGCATGTAGATGCATAATGTAATCAGTCTACATGTTGAGCTAAATTCTTGTTCTACTGCGACCATTGATGGATGCATGGACAAACATTTGTTTCACCAAAACATACAAGATCAATAGCAGACTCAGAAAAAATGTGATCGGGGGCACTTTTGGTGAATAGAGGCAAGAACAGTATGAGGGCTTGGGCGGCTCGGGAGCAGCACCCCCGGATATTTTTAAAGGCAATGTGGTAATAAATTTCATCTCAAACCAACATTCAAATAGTTAGAATGAAAAAGTCCAAAACAAGAAAAAAAATATAATGTACGGAGTACTTCACGACCTACGTTAAGTATCATATTTGTGTAGCCAGTTTACCTGCTCTGCTCAGTGTGCTCGAATGCTCATGAATCTTCCTTAGAATTTAGAAGCTTGATAATCTCCAACCACAGTTTTAATGATGTTTAAATGTCTAATACACCCTGCGATGAAGACAAAAGGGGCAAAGAGAAATAGCTAGATTCACAAACAAAATGGTCACAAATTTCATAAGCTTACTATTTGTGAACTTCAATAAAAAAAATTAAACCATAAATGATAAGTTTGTGAAGTTTGTGACCATTCTGTTTGTGAAGCTTAGCATTCACAAAAGAGGTGTTAATGTTTATCAAAAAACAATACTCCGTATTAAAGGCCGCTTCTCCTTCTACATAAGTTTACAAGTTCAGAATAAAGTTATGATACTAATAACTCCAAAAAAACAATCAACTCACATTAATGGCATGTTAATTTCTAATATCCCTAAATTAGTACTTATAAACCCTAATTTTAGATTAAAATCAAAATAGAAAACTAAAGAAATGAGATTTATAGTAAAGAAATACCCATATTTCATCAATGCATTTATGCATAAAAACTAAATTAAAACCAAGACCGAAACATGTTAAAGAGTATCCCACGAGTATAAGAAAAATAACAACGGTAGCCCAAGTGTATTATTACCCAATCCAATTGTCCATACCCATCCCAAATTCTATCAAAACAGTAGAAATGTAAAAATATCCAACTTGAAAACAACTGTTGGAACGCACCATTAAAATTGGGATGGAAGAAGAGGGCGAATTTCCGACGGATTACGGTGCAAGATGGTGACGATTTTGGGTCGGAAATCTTCAGGCCGGCAAGGGGTTAGTATGCGCTTGGCTGCCGTCGATCATCGTCAGGTCGCTTTATTTCCCCGTCGGCGACTGTAGCCCGTTTGTCACTGAAGCGAATTTGGGATGATAAGCGCAGGACAATGATAAGACAGTTGCCCAGTCAATTTTCTTTTAAATACTCCGTATATAGTGCAAAAAGAAAAACTAGCAATAAATTAAAAAAAAAAGTCAGGTAAACAAATTTGTGCCCCAATAAAAATTCAATTCTAAAATACTCCATAAAATACTCCGTAAGTGTTTAAATATACTCCGTAATAAAGTAAAATATTTAAAATATCACACTTAAATTAAGTTATGATAGACTTTGTACAAAATTAAGTTATGGTGGGAGGAGTATGTGTTAGATTGAAAGAGAGAAGATCATTTAAGAACATAAAAGATACGGAGTATTCACTTATAAATTCGTGAAAACAAGAAAAAGTTTTCAATCCAAAAAAGAAAGAGAAGAAGATATTAAAAATGAAGTACTATTAAATAGTTGTTGTAACTTATAGAGGTGGACAGGATTTTGGTTTGTAACCGGTACCCATTCCAGACCCAGAAATGAAAATTCAAAATTCCCTTATTTTGAGAACTAAAATTGTAGTTCAGATTTTTTGAAGATCTGGTCTAATCTAATCTAATTAGATCTGAGTAAAATCTAATCAGATTAGATCTAAGCTTATTGTAGTTATATCTAAATCTATCTCTAATCTTATCTAATGTATTCCAACTTGAACTAATTAGATCTGATTTTAGTAAGAATAAGTAATAAGCTTAAAAAAATTAAATTCAAAGCTGACCCTAAGAATCCATCCTCAATAATCGGAATCCCCAATCCTATAACGAAAACCGAGTTGTGTCCAACAAGTTCGTAGTTGTGGCTCCAAACAACCACCAAACGACTATTAAAATCCCGAGTAGACTTGGCAAAAAATAAACCGAGCAGTATTTTACCCAAAATTTGACCCGACCTGAAATTAACCGAACTCGAAATGACCTGCTAAAAATGAGTCAAACCCGACCGAACCCAAATCCGACCTACTAATGTAAGAGTTTTTAAAAATTACTCCAATTTAATGTTATAACTAGTATTAACTCTGTGCTTCGCACGAGCTCGTATACATTCTTAATTTTTGACATTCTATAAATATAATTTTATTTATTTTAATTTTCTAATAGTGACATAATATGTGTTAGATGAATATATTTTTACTCTAAGATATATCATTCAAATAATATAATTTAAATATAGATGTACATGCACTAAAGATTCTATAAGTATTTTCTTTAAAAGTAGTAAAAGAGAAATGATTTATTGTTTTTAAAAATCATATAAAACTCTATTTTTCAAAACATCCATAAATTTAAAAAATATTTCATAGATATAATTTAATTATTTAAACAAAATATGTTTTAAACTGGTGGAATATATATTGGTATGTTTATTTAAAAACAAAAATTTTATATAAAACTAATGGCCATTACTAAATGAAGTACTAATGAAAATGGTTTTAATTAATAAAACATTATAATAAGAAATGGACTGATTAAATAATGATACATCATTAGAGAATGTATATGTAACAATATATATATGTGTGTGTCTATATATATATGTATGTATGTATGTATGTATGTATGTATGTATGTATGTATGTATGTATATATGTATGTATGTATATAGGATATTATACTTAATGTAGGAGTATATACTTTACTATGGAATATAATGTTATAAAAATACGGTTATAATTACGCATTTTATTTTTTTCTTACTACTCTTTTTTAGTGCATAAATTTATATTTTCAGACAAAATTTTAATGACACTGCATACTTATCTTACTTTTTCTCCAAAACTTGTTCATTTTTTAATTCTTTATATTGAGTTATACATCTAAAAATTACTTGATAATTTAAAATAAGATAATCTAATATTTTTAATAAATATTTTTTGCTATTTTAAATTTATTCAATGCAAAATGCATGTGTTAATATGAATTTAAAAATTTAAAAAACCAAAATCATAACCCGTTGGACCGACTCAAACCTGATGACACTGGGTCATAAACATATAGTTCTAAACACGAACCCAAATTGACCCGAACTCAAACCCCACTTGACCGACCGATTTGTCAGCTCTAATCCTGAGCCACATAGTTTATTTTTTTGGGCTACATAGTTCAGTATTTGGTACCCCATAAAAATTAAAATAAAAAGTACTATGAAATTTAGTTTGGGATATCTAAAAAGGAAAAGAAAAATATGAAGCAAGAAAGTACGTAGTATATAAGCCAAAGGACTAAAATTAGATTTTATTTCTAACAGTTGAACTATGTTAAGGATAAGACTTCTTCAAGTATTAAATGCACGCTCCACTCACAACTACAAATCTACGATTAAAGTCCAATTTAACTCCTTTCAGTGACGACCGGAGTCGGAGGAGGCCCTCGAGGAATGGGACTCATCCTTCTTTTGTCAAAAGAAAATTAAGCTGTGAGAATTCCTTATCACTCTAGCACAAATGTTTCGGACAAGGACACCAAAATGTTTGCCCCAATCACATTTTTTGCAATTTGAAAACAAAATTTGTCTGAATCACACATACGTACAAAGTTTGTATGTATTGCAGGCAAAAATAGAGTTAGTCATGTGCACCAAGCATGGTTGTTACTTGTTACGGGTTCTAAGAACGACGGACCACGCAAAAAAATAAAATAAAATAAAGTAAACTGAAATCCATACATTATTTTCACATTTATGATGACAAAATTACCAGGAGAAATGTTACAAAAATGAAGGGTTTGCAGACTTCACCTTGTCAATTGCTATTCTTTTTTTTCCCTTCCTGATTTGTTACAGCGAAGTAACACGCTCCGTAATAAAGAGCAACACAGAATGACAGTTATGCCCCTCCGGCCATGTCCATGTCGCTAGCTCCATCAGTAATACCCTTGAAAGCCACGCATAATTTTCTCAAGCAAGATCGCTTCGTATCGCCCTTCCCGGCCATGCCATTCACATGAATTATATCTCGGGGAGCTTTATCCATGAGATCAAACAATAGTAAATCAAGATTTGACCGAGTCATCTCTTCCAGCACTTGAGGCGCTTGCATGTACAGATTCTTCCCTCTGTATGTCACACTAGCCCTAGTCAGGAGCAGCTTTGGATGATCTTCAAGCATATCAATGAACTGTTACAAAATACCAACATTTTAGAAACGATATCAATAATTGTTCCCGTCACATAAAAGATATGCCGTGTTCTTTTCTACTTATTTCCAATCAACTTCACAATTTTGGTAAAGTATGCAATTAAAACTAAATCATCGAGCCAAGATATTGACGTGTTTAAGTAGAAAAGAAGATGGTACATGACCTTTTTCAGGGTGACTGAAGGGTCTAGTTGAATAAGAACACCAGGACCACAAACAAGACATTCTTTATCCTTTTCAAACTCAGTCACAGACGTGTTAAGACCGTCAACTCCATTATACCTTCAAAGCATAGATAGAAATAAAACACAGTAAGCATAGATTGTGCAATATATACAACAGGTTATATCTGTACGGAGCAGAATATGATACATGTATTCATCAATAAACAGTAGAGATATCAAAAAGAGGAAGAACTAGGTGGAAAGCCACCATCTGACGAGAACTTTTTTAGAATGTTTAAAAAAAAGCAAACCATTGATGCATTATTGTTAGAGCATAAGCAATACAATATATATTATGCGGAGTATAAAATAGTCAAATGCCAGGAACAAGCATACGTTAACTGATTGGATAATGTTTTGCTGCATCCAGAGACAAGTTTCAAGGTTTCCAAAGCACAGGCAGCTGAAATAATAGCATTTGTGGATGCTATAGCAGGTATGATATTTTTCACAACACCCTGAAATAACATTATGAAAAAACACTATTATATATGCTCTGTCCCTTTTTTATCTTCCCACTTTCCTTTTCTGGATGTCCATAAATAATCTTCTCATGTTCGTTTAAAGAGAGAATTGTTTGGTTCACATGAGTTATCTCTACTCGGCACAAATTTCAACCACACAAATTCATCTTTCTTACTACGTGTAAAAAGCAAATGGGAAGATTAAATAGGTACAGAGGGAGTATCAAATAAAGCCTGAAACAGTACGTTAGGAAAGAAAATATATAGGACGCCGTGAGAAGATTTTCAAGAGTCCAAATCAGGTTTTGATAACTATACCTGTGTGAAAGAATATGTAACTCCTGGAATTCCAAAGAGATCTGCTCTCTTAACAGCCTATAAGAAATCATAAATACAAACAATGAGAGTTCCAGAAAATGGAATCTTAAAATTGCATAAGCATTGAATGTTGTGAAGAATATGTAACTTTTTTAGAATGTTGTGATCCAAAAATTTGGGAAGAACAGGAGTATGAACCTCTGAATAGACCCATTGCATGTGTTCAGGATTATCTGCATCAAAACTTTTGCCACTATGAATCTGCACATGAGAATGGAGTTCCAAATAGCAATAGAGAACCAATAAAATTAATTCCCTTTGGGTTGTTTGTTTAAAGGGCTTTAGAGGGGAGGGTTTTGGGTGACCAAGTCTATATCTTGATAGACATTCAAGATTTTATAAAAGTTGAAGGAATAACATAAGAAAAAAGCGATCATATAACTTTTGAATCTCTACTCATTTTTAGATACGTTCTATTTATGAAGATACAGACTAAGCCTTCCACGACATTCCCTTCCAAAACCTGACATCTGAACTGAATCTTAAGGCTTGTTTGGTTGGGATTTTATGGAGTGTTGTGGGCTTTCTTTTAAAAAAAAATATCTACGAGTATATTTGTTTGAGTTAGATTGGAAAGTAAATATATTTTGTTTGATTAAATAATATAGTTCTATTATAATTGTTCATCTTCCTTCCCCTCCAAAAAATGGAAACCAAAGACAGTTCAGAAATGATAGGGGAGAATAGATCACAGTAGTACCTCATCCCATTTGATCAAATGTGCATATTCAATGCAATGAGCAGCAGTTCTAGGCGTTTCTGCTAGAGTGCACAAGGGAAACTTAACTTGAGGAGGAAAAAGCCAAATTGTGCACTCAAAACATGGAGTGACCCCTGGCTTTATAATCCTTGCATGCCCTTTGAAACCTTCAGTTCCACCATCCACCATAGGTTTGATTGTCTCTTCAATTGGGTTGTCATTACAGTCATACTCTACAGTTAAACACCAAACCAATGTAATTTTGATGGTCAAAAATATTTTCCATAGGATAAAAATTAAAAGCAGCATCAGAAAAATATAAAATAAATAAACACCGAGGGCCTTTATCAACCACAAATTTCAAAAGCAAATACTTCAAAAAGTACTAAAAGTAATTTTCAAAAACTGATGAGAGGACATAACAAAGTTCGGCATACTTAAAAAGAAAGAGACAAACCTAGGAATCCACATGCCACAGCATTTATGTAGCCTCGAGCCTCCATAGAATCAAGGCCAAGAACAATAATGTGGAAATCACTATAGAAGCTCAGTGGTTTATCCTCAATCCTACAGAAATGTGGAATAATGTTCACACCACTAACTCTTTCCATTACTCGCTTTGCAGCAATTTCAGCCTTTGGCTTCCCAACATCTTCAAGTCTGCAGTGAAATGCCCATGAGAATACTTTGTAAAATAGATTAAATGCTTTAAATTGTTGTTAACATTCAAGAAAACACTTCATTTTTCTGGCTTCATTCTTGTCTACATTATTACTTATCTCAAGATGGACTTCATTGGAAGAGTCATACACACAATCCAACACACTTCACAGAATATGGGCAATGTCAATGTTACAGACCAAACGGAAGAACTCAACCCAAAAGACTAGTCTGATAGGTGAGGGAACCCATTTGGCCTATAAACCCCACATCAATTGCCCATACAACCGATGTGGGACAAGTCCCATACCTTGCAATGGTTTCAGTCCATAACAGTCAAACATTGAATTTATGAAGTTTCCAAAAAAAGGAAATACTACTGAACTAAATACTCAAAATAAAGTTGCACGGAGATTTAAATGGCACGGTTTAGCTGCTAAATCCCATTCAGACCATCTAACGTGATTCACAGAATATTGTCAAGCATTAATTTTTTTCCATAATTCTCATTATCTCATACATATTTTACCAAGGAACAACTATATATAGAAACTGATTAAAAAAATGCACCTAATCAGTATCATTGTCAGTTGAAATGCAAAATTGCCTGTTTTTATGCTCTAAACCAGTATATGTACCCTACTATGGAACCCTGAACAAATTCTCAAAATGGATTTGGCAATCTTCAGAGATATGCTTCAAAATTGAACACCCAATTAATCTAAAATCTAAAATGAATGAACAGACAGCAGTCACTAGCTCAACAACAAAAAAGTTTTACCTTATCTAAATAAAAATAAAGAAAACACAACAACATCAAAGTATCTAACAAGTGTGTACCTGAAGAGAAACTGGCGATTGAGATTGGTGACTTCGATTCTATCCATATCAATGACCTCAATGTTTTGAAACCCAGATAAAGCCAAATCCTTCAGCAATTCACACCCTAATCCTCCAGCCCCAACAACCAACAGTCTAACAAACTCCCGGATATCATCTCTCAGCTACAATAAGCAATATAAATTATCCGCAGGCAGTATTAAATTCGTTCTGAATCCAGTTCAACTGCGCGAAGATAAGAATCGTAGAGGAGAGACATAGAGAAGTGTTTTTATAAAGCAAATAAGGAAATTACTTCTTCGCCGGGTTCGAAAGCTGGGCCGACGAGGTGGCCGGGACGAAGAAGGAGCTTGTCGAGGTCGCGAGATCGGCTCTGTGAAGCGGAATCCGCCATTGATGAACTCGGAACTATGAAATCGCTAAGAATTGAAGGAGAAGCACAATCGCGTTAATTTGAGGGAAGCATGGTCTTACTAATTTCTTTATTTTTGTTTTCTAAAGCATGGTCTCTAAATATGCTCCATTCTATAATACTCCGTAATTAAAATTTATTTAGATAGAGAGAGAAATTTTGTAATTGGAGAGATCGTAGAGTCGAGCTAAGGTAAGGATCATCAATTTTTCAAAAAGAGCATTGTATATGCTGCAATCGTCAATCGATACTCATGTCATAGAATAATATGGGGCATTAATATCACCCAAACCCCCCATTCATTGGAGTATCTATAATGGGTTTTTTCATTGTCCTTCATCTCTCTCTTATCTTTGATAATTGATTTGAGATCATTTATCTTAACTTTCATCCTATTACTTTAATGGTTTATTATACATTTCCTTCTTATTTTTCCATTGTAAGCCTCACATCTCATATAATTATTTAATCTACATTATTTTAATATAATAAATCAAAATAATTGTATTACAAAATAAGCAACTTAAATTTATTACCTTATTTAAAAAAAACTATTACCCATGTCCTCATTTATTTTAAAAATTATTCTATTTTGTTAATATAAATTAGAATCGACTAGGTAAATTAGAATCAGCGAGGACACCAAGGGGCTGGGGAAGGAGGTTGAAGGAGTTTATGGATAATATGAAATATCGATTTTTTGAATGAAACATTGTAGATGCCTCGAATTATGAGCCAATATCATGAACCAATCCCATATAATATAAACTCATAGAGAAAAATCTCATCTTACCTAAAAAGTGATGTAAAAATAGTAATAATGTGTACGTCCAAGATCAACTGCTTCGACATCACCGATGTAAGAAGATCAATCACAATAAGCAACATGAACTCTCAACGAGTTGATATAGAGTATCAAGCGAAGCAATTATTTCTTCTTCTTTAAAAAAAATTGTTTACTAGTTTTCTTATTCTTAATAATGCTAAAATCTCATCTAAGCAACCTCACTGAAGATGTTACTCCCTGCATTCTAAATTAAATTGTATTTTACTATTCACACATGGTCAAACTTCATTTATCTTCTTTTCCAATCTTCATTAGTCATTTGATAAAATAACATAATCATGTTACCACTACTCTTGTTCATGTAGTTTTTAAATATATAATTTTTAAATTTTAATTCTACACATTTTTCAAATAAAGTGATTTGAAAATCACTTCAGTCAAACATCGTAAACCGAAACAGAAGATTTAAATTGAGATGGGAGTATTAGTTTAAAATGAAGTGAGCGGGCCTGTTTGGGAATAGTGTTAGAGATTAGCGTTAGCGTTTTGGATATAATTTTAACAGTGCAGATTACTTTAAAAACACTAACGCTAAATGATGTCCGTAGATAGCTTTTTCAAAATGTTAACGCTCATCGTTAACGTTATTTCCAAACATACCCGGCATGATCCCCAGTAATTAATGTATAGCGCGCAATTCATCTATCAATGCAAGAAATATGCTTGCATTGGTGTCTATTTCTTGCTTTGGTAGAATGGAAAGTTTAAAAAAAAATGTTCAATCATAAATTCATAATTACTATTTCCCTGCTAATCTCTTATCATGAATACAAATATACAGATTGATCGAAAGTATTTATGTACATCTTTAGATTTAATGCCAATAGAAGATTATGGATCTTTTAATAATGTACATATAATCAACATAATGTAAGTAGTAATTTAACAGGGAGATTTTGAGCTAGAACCGAATCATAATCGTGGGTGTTGCCCATATGCGGTGCAGTCAATGGGCTTGTCCGACTTGTCAATTGCTCGAATTGGGCTTGTGGCCCGATCAAAGTACCAATCACCGAATACTTCTGCATAAGTCTGCATGAACGAGAGACAAATAAATAAATAGATATTGTTAGAAGGGTCTGATTTTATGGTCACTGTGTTTGAGTGGTCACGAAAGACACTCGACATCTATGGTGCTCGGTTCGCAAAATTGATAGTTCCTACCCGTCCTAAAACCCTCGGTAAATCCCCCTACCCAATCCTGACTCTGCGACCCAACTCATCTCCATACCCGTGTTAATTGCTGGGTGCAAGTTTAGTTGACTTTGGGGTCAAAATTTTGATATCAAAGTCAACTAAACTTGCACCCACAATTGACGCACGTATGGAGATGGTCCGGGGCAGGACTAGGTCGGGGGTTTACCCGTGCGAGGTTCGGGAGACAGAAACAATCAATTTTACGAACGGAGTACCGTAGGTGTCCAATTGGGACATTGTTGTTGGAACAAGTATCCAACACTAGAAGGTGGTAAATAATATGATACGAGAATGTTTAAAAATAATCGCGGAATTAAAATTACGACCATATTGTAAAATCTAGAATGGAATTAATTACTTGCCTTGTCTCCGAGGACTCTGATTTTATTTGGACCATACCATGAGAAGTATGTGAATTCATGGCTCACACAATTAGGCACCCAAATTCCAATTGATTGGGAGTCCCCTTTTGGCAGTAAATTTAAAAAGTGCATTCTTAGATCTGAACAAAAAAAAATTAAAATAAAACATTAAATTTGGAATATTATTAGATTATATCATAACTATCTAATTATCAATTAAAGTATATATTAATACTACTAACCTTGGATGGTTTTTAACTCTGTGGGAGAGCAATTGTTATGTATAGCGCATTGCTCATATGGTTGTTGTGACAAGCCATACCTTAACTGAAATGGTTGAAACTTATATTTATTTATTTATTTATTTATTTATTAATAAACATATAAAACCGTGAAATAACGAATTGAAAAGAATTATAGCAGTAAATGCACAAAATATTTATTATTTGTTGATGATGAGAATCGAACCTGAATTTGATCAAATGCTGACATGACTATGAAGATGGGCGTCTTAACGTATTGTATTATATTTTGAGGGAAGAAACACTGAAATTCAACAAAGTTATAAATTACATGGTCAGTATTACAATTTGGCACTCGTCAATTCGACTTTTTTTATTCTTACCAGACAAATTTTAATCATCATTTAAATGATAATTGCAATACTCATTAGTACAAAATGATTTGATTAGATCTATTTTGCTTAAAAACTTTTGAGAAACTATTAAATTTTATTATAGTTCTTCCTGTTTACCTTTTTTTAGTCAAACTCTATGCCATTACATATCTAAGGCCCCGTTTGGTACACGGAATTCAAATTATGGAATTAGAATTGAGGGTTTCAATTCCAATTCTGATGTTTGGTAGCACAAAAATTATGTGGATTTGGAATTGATAGTGCAAAAAACAAATTGGAATTGGCAGAATTCAATTCTATGGAATTGAATCTCATGGAATTTCAATTCCAATTCAATTCCGATTCCATCAATTCCTTATACCAAACGGACCCTAAAAGTAATTGTTACTGTAATTAAGAAAAGAACTTATGCTGGCATATATGCACGTACCAATGAAGGTTGCATTTTTGAAGTGCATTCTTGCGGCAACGATTTAGCCGATCCCTGCAACAATGTAATTATATATGTTAGAATATAAATTACTCTTCCTAGCCACAACCACAAAGCTTGAGCTTTTGGTTGAATTAGTTCCTTGACATGGCATCAGAGCCTTGTTGACTAAAAGGTCACGGGTTCAAAACTCAGCGCCACCCAGCTTTAAGAAAATTAAAAAAGTTTCACGTTCAAGGCTCGAAAAACACTACGCTTGCACGTGAGGGGGCGTGTTAGAATATAAATAACTCTTCCTGGGCCACAACCACAAAACTTGAGCTTTTGGTTGAATTGGTTCAATTCCTTGACAATATATTATTTCCATATTTATGTGGCACTTAATTATAATGTACCTTAGCTTATTTAAAATATGATCTAATATAATTAACCAGTGGAACTCTAAATGATTTGAAGAATTTAAAACAAATTAAAGTTACACATCTAAAAAGTAGGTTAACATAGAAATAAAAATCACAAAAAATAAAGCAGTTATATATACCATTGAATTGACCAAAAAATCGAAGCTTGATTGGAATATTTTGTCTCCTTGAAATTGATCGCTGTTGAAAGGTGCACAAAAGAATTGCAATTTTAATTGCAAGAAAGGTTAATTATATTAATTAACAAAGTAGTACTCCTTAAATAAATTAAAATTATACTCCGTATACATTAGTAAGAAAAATTAAGTTAATTTTTTTATTACTATAAATTATTAACTCTATTAATATATACTTACTCATTAATAAAGTAGGCAGAATCAGCAAGACACTTCACTCTCGTTGTGCTTGGGAAGAGCGCGCGAAAACGGTCGCAGTGGATCATCGTCGCTAATCCCCCGGCGGAGTTGCCCGCTAGGATGGCCTATACACATTTATATTTACAAAATAATTACAATTAAATATTGTAATATTTAACTGTCCATTTTCTTAATTGTAATTTGTTTTCGATAATGAGAAATTGTATGAAATTTTCTTGAGATAGAAATGAGCAACAAACTCATTTGAAAAAAAAACTTGTTAATAATATTAAATAACATTTTTTTGGGCTTACATTTTTAGCATCTTTCATTCCTTGCGACTGAAAGTAAGTCATTAATGCATCAAATATTCTTGCGCCTCTATATGTTCCGCCTGTAGCCTGCACCCAATTAAATAATTAATTTTGGTCACCATATATTCTTGATTATTAGTATTTTTAATTATTTTGTATAAAAATCATTTAAAAAAATTGGAAATGGTTGATACACACACACACACATATAATGGGTACGTACAGGATCAACAACTTCAACATCACTGGTGTAAGAAGATCCATCACAATAAGCGACATGAACTCTATGCCAGTTAAATAAATCTGCAATTTGTTATTAATTTCCAAACGTAATTAAATAATTACACATACGAGTATTTCGCAATATATTATATGTATGAACCTTAGTCATTCATTTAATTATAAATATATATTAATTAATATACCTGGATTTTCTGTGGCGTTTTCGCTCAACATATCATTCAATGAAATCATAGGGTACATATTCTTGGAAGACCCTAATCTTTGGGTGGCTCTATTCTTGCAATCTTCACCATTTTTGCACCACCCTCCTCCCTAATATATATCATTATTATATTGATTATATTTTAATTAATATTAATGAACTAAATGGAGTGGAGTACGATTTGTACATAAAAATTGGTAAAAAAATGGATTTATATATAATTTGTACTCCCTCGGGTCCTAAAAACATTTTATTTTTTGATTTTTTAGTCAAACAGTGACATTCTTTGACAACAAATTAAACGTAATCTAAATAAATAATTGATATAAAAATTTGATATATCAAAACTTTATCTTAAGATGAACACAATTATATTAAATTTATATTACAATTAGCTAGATATAATTTTCTCACCATTTGAGGTCAAAGAATATTACCGTTTGACTAAAAAAACAAAACAGAATTTTTTTTAACACCAGAGTTAATATTTAATTTATATTAGAAACAAGAAAGAGGGAGACCATTCATATATATATATATATATATACCTCAAAGAAAATAACCCAATTATTGGCTCCCTCGCCATATCCCATGTCATAGTAAAATCCAGGGGCACTCCCGTCCAAACAAACTGCACAAATTTCACGTTAGCATCATTTACCAACAAAGTCATACGTACAATAATTTCAAAATACTCCATGCATAACAAAAAAAGAATATGCTAAATGCCTAAAATGACCCTGAACTTTAATCAAGTCTTTCCTCCATTGCCCCCAACTCCTCAAACTCTACAAATTAACCTAATGGTAATGTCATGCATATAGACTTAACAACAATTAATCTCCCATTTTGATTTCTTATTACTCCAGATTCAATTTGGAAATATTAGATTTTAAATATATGGTACTACATTGGAAAAATCATTATATGTTTCAGTATTATTAATTTCCCTTTTTCAATCTAAATTTGCCAAATTTGACCCGATCGGTCTCGTTTTCCAACTCGATACAGGCATTTTTTAGTAGCTTTGAAGTAATTATTATAGCTTAATTTACCTGCTCCCGTAGATAAAGCAGAATCAACGACAGTTAAGGTGACATTGACCATGCCTTCAATCTTCATCCCTATGCTCAACAAGCAAAGGAAGATGCATACCCACTCATATTTCCGCCCCATTCTTGATCTACATACATACACGAAAATTATGAATAATTATTATTTTTGGAGATACTAATAATAATAATAATAATAATTAAATAAAGCAAAGTAATTAAACATTACTCCACGTATAATTAAATTTTAATTAATGTTGTTCTAAAAAATGAAGAACTTTTACTAGCTCTTTAATTTAATATAACTTCCATCTTTAACAAAACCAGTATAATTTTAGGCCTCCTCAATTGATGAAAAGGAATAAATCACTACCACAAAATTAAATCATCATATCAATGAGTTAGATTGTGTCTTAAATTAAGTCTCATATATTAATGAGGCCCCGTTCAACTTATTTTTTCTTATTCTTATTAAAATCAGATTAGATCGAATCAGATCAGATCAGATCCAATAAGAACAGATCAGATTCAATCAGATCAGATTAGATCAGATCTAATCAAATCAGATTAGATCCCATCAAGAATTATTTTTATTACGGAGTATTATTATTATTATCATCATCATCATAATTAGTTTTATTATTATTATTATCATTATTACTATCATTGTTATTCTTAAAAATGAAAAAGAAAAAACTTTAGAAGCAAGTTAAATAGAAAACTGAGAAAGTAATCCTTAAATATTAGACGTTGGAAAAATTATTTTTAAAATACATTGACAATGTCAATCTAATTCTACTTTTAAAATACATTTTTATTGCTACTTGTAATTTGAGTTTATAAAGTTTTGATCTTTTATAAGGATGAGATATTTTAATAAAAATATTATCTCTTCTATATATTGATTATCTAAATTTAATTACTTTTTAATGTATATATAAATTAAATATTTATTCTAATGTATATATGAAGTAATTATTAAAATATTAAACTAATATTCTAATTTCACAAAAAAATAATCATAAAATAAAAAAATATTATTACATTATAATATGAATGATTATTCTAATATATGAATTAACAAATTTTATTTTATTAAAAAATAATCATAAAATAAAAAACATTGATTATATTATAATATGAATTATCATTACAATTTTCAAACGTTAATATAAATTCAAATCAAATTATTGATTTGAATTTTAAATTAAATCATAATTAATCAGATCAGACCAGATCAGATCCAATCAGACCAGACCAGATCAGATTAGATCCAATCAGATCAGATCAGATTAGATCCAATCAGATCAGATCAGATCCAATCAGATCAGATTAGAACTTATCAAAATTAGATTAGATAAAAAAAATAAGTTGAACAGAACAGAGCCTGAGAACGAATAAATTACTACATATTCGTCAGGTTTGATTTTTTCTAATCAAATTAGAATAAATCACTCCCACAAAATTAATTCATCATATCAATGAGTTGGATTGTGTCTTAAAATTTGAGCCTCATATATTAATGAGAACGAATAAATTACTTCACATTCGTCCGGTTTGATTTTTTCAAGTCAAATTGGATGAATTTTATAAATAATCAATTTAAATTTATGTTATATATTAATACAAAGAAATACATTTCTTAAAATTTGTTATTAGGGAAATGTAATGAAATTAATTTTATAATAATTTTTTATTCAAAAAATTAAACTGAACGAATATTCTAAAATGGACGTAGTGTAATTGAAGATACTCTCATCCAAAGAAACAAACAAATTAATTTCTAATATTAAAATTACTACTACTATAATAATAATAATAATAATAATAATAATAATAATATTACAATACTCCAAAGTAACAGACGAGATGAAAGAAACAAATAGAAGTGAATTGTGACCTGAGGAGTGTGTAGATAAAGGATAATATCCTTATCTAGCTAATAAGTGCTTAATAATAATAATAATAATAATAATAATAATAATCTAGGTTTAATTTTTGTAAAACTCCAATCAATGGAATAAATTATTAAACCTAGATGAAGGAGCTTGAAAAAAGAAACGGAAAATATAGGAGGTACTTATAGTTGTGTTAGATTAAAAGTAGCCAAAGAGAAAAAAGTGGGGCCGGTTTTAGTGCCATCCTTTGTTCACATTTTGTGGTGGACAGGAAATTTTAAATGTGATCATCCTAAAATGGGCGGGTTTGGGTGGGAGTGGGGTGATGGATTTATCAGGTGGTTACGGAGGATATGAACTGTCAATTTTACGAATGAGATTCTGAAATATCCTCAGATCATTCCATTACATTAATAATTATTGTCGGGTAATGTAATAATGCGAACAGTTCCGTTCTAAAATACAACTTCCCTACATTAATAGAACCTTCCTTTGTTTTATGGCTAGTCACATTGATTGATCACGGACATGTTTTACGGTGTCGTGCTTGTAAAATTTACAGTTTTACAGACCTACGATGCTCCGTGACGATTCAAAATGAGTTGTTGAATCTCATACTTTGAATGTGTTATAAATGAAATTTACTTTATTATATACTTCCTTCATCCTAATTTAAATAGTACGGTTGTTTATGAGGTTTAATTGATTTAAATTGTTTTCAAAGTAAATTATTTGAAATTTGGCATAAAATTAAAAAATAAAACTTCCATATTTAAAAACTACTACGAGTATATCAAAAATTCTATAAAATAAGAGGTGATAATTATATTTTTTATCCAATGAGTAGCAAAATAGGTAAATAACATGGTTAACCTATATTTGATTTTGTGAATAGTAAATATACAACTTAATTTTAGATGGAAAGACTAAAAATTATTTAGACCATTTGTGGATGCTTTAAATTTCATAGATGCTTCATATAGTAATGGTTGGTCTTATTTTACTTTGAATGGAATGCTTCACACACGAACTTTGTTCTCATGATTATTTAATGGGTAATTTACCTAAATAGGACTAAAACATAATGACTTTTCCAATATAGGACCATATGTTTTATTTCTTAATGTATGACCTTTGGTCATTATCTATTAGTCATTATTCAACTAAATGTTCATCATTACTGGATATTATTCCTTCCACTAGGTCATTTTTAAGTCCTATTTAGGGAATAAAAAAGTTTAAGTTCTACATTTGGAAAGTCATTAGGTATTAGTCCTATTTAGTGCAAATTTCACTTATTTAATTCGTATAGTTTTTATTTCTTCCCGAAAATACCGTACCTATCAATGTTCTTCATTTTTTTCACTATTATATTTCCCTATCTCCATGTCTAAATATTTTTATTTCAGACTTCAAAATTAAAAGGAATGTTTTTAGATTTCAAGACTAATAACATATCTAAGTCTCAAAACAAATTGAAGTCGCTCTAACAAGAGCATGTTTTAGAGCTGGAAAAGAAAGTTGAATGTTAGAAAAAATATGAAGAAACTGAAAAAAATGGAAAAAAACTAGAAAAAAATGAGAATAATTGGAAGAAACTTCAAAAAACATATTTATGTATATTTTACATAGTATTCTTATTAGAATTGTTATAGTTGTTATTGTTATAATTATTAAATTAGGGACAAAGAGAGTAGTATAATTATTATTTTTTAATTTAAAATTTTGGCATTTTCCGAGGTCAATTTATATTAATACGCAACAACAACAACAACCCAGTTAAATTCCACAAGAGTAGGGTCTGGGGAGAGTGTGTGTACGCAGACCTTACCCCTACTCGAAAGTAGAAAGGCTGATTCCAAAGAGACCCCCAACTCAATGTCGAAAGTTGCATTGCTTGACTAACTGCTACTTCATTAACTAAAGAAGCGCAGACAGTTTAGAGATCCATTTTGATTTATCCCATCACACGTTCACACCCCAAAGCCAAAAAATGGTGAAATTTTGGCTCCATCGAAGATGATGGAAATAATACGCAGTAAAATATTCATAATTTTTAAAACATATTTAGTGTCATGTAGATTAAAAGTTCCCCAATAAGATAGTACTACATATTATTTATAATAAAACAGAAGAATAATAATAATAATAATAATAAGTGTAAATAAAAAATGGCGACATGAGAACAATAAAAATAAAAAATTGAAATTATTTATAAATTATAGTTATAATAATAATAATAATAGTAATAATAATAATAATACATGAAAAGCATATTATATTTAGAGTCATTATTTGGGAGTAAAAACAATTGAAAAAATTAGAATAGTTGTAAAAACTAAAAGAAATTGAAAACCTCTTCCCCTGGTTGTGTGCCATAGCCACCATGCCTTCCACCACCACCACGGGTCGTTGTTCCACGACCCCATTACCACGACAAAACCTTCTGGCCTGGAAAGCCAATAATCTCAAAGCAAGTTTCCACATTGTGGTTTGTGCGTCCACGCTAAGTAGGAGGACGTGTATTAGTTGCGAAGGCTACTGGCTACTGTGTCTATGCGGTCATCACGAGGACGTATGTTAGTACGGTGCCTTTCTTCCTGTGTGACCTAATAAAAAGCTATGTCCAAATCTAGAATGAGTTTTACACCAATAATCTGACCACGAAAGCTTCTAAATTGTTCATCATCAAGACCCATCAAGAAATCTAAGGTTTTCTCACATTCCACATGTGTGCGGCTAATGCTAGCCGTTGCATGCGTGCACCCACCAGTTGGACCATCACAACCATAGATTTGATTCTAAAGTGTAATAAACTGATTGTAATACACAAACACTTTGACCTTTCTGACTTAAAGTGTTCAACTCAAACTTTAACTGGTAAATTTGTGGACCATTCGAACTTAGGGTATAGCCTCCATACCTTTTCTAGAGATCATCCCATAACTTAAAAGCAAGAATATGCGATTTAACACTCCTTTGAATAAACTCATCCAAGCTATTGCAGATCCAACTACAGATGACATGTTCGTCCTCGGGTTTGGGTACTCCTGTGGACGTGAGGAATTTGACCTTACCTTGCAATCCAAAGGCGATGCGAATCGCTTTTACCCAAACTTCGTAATTACCAGAACAAAGACAGTATTTGGTTAGAGAATTAACAAGACCTTCAGACGGGTGTAAATAGTAGACTGTGGACGGATTGTGAACAATGTTTGTCTTCTTGCATTGGCAGACAAGGTGGACGACGAACAGAGACAATAACCTGACAAGAACTAGCGGCTGATTAGAACGTACGACTGGCGCAATGACATTGACAAACAAAACACTAGGATGCGTGACTAACACATCGATGACGGTTGATGGACGAACGAGAGACACTCCTAGGGTTCACGACTTTCCCTCAAAATACGCTTTAATACCATGCAGAATTTTTGGAACCTAATTGTTTGCCTTCCGATTGAACCATCAAACCATATGTATCGTACATAAGTTACAAATCTTAACTAGAATCTAACTAGGACATACATATGTACAAGGAAATAAAACTAAGTTCAATAAAATATTCTAATAAAATTTCTTGTGACTCAAACGTGGACTCAACGAAGGAGAGATAGATTGTTGAAGAAGTTATAATATATGAAGGAGTTGTGCCTCTATGGTCATATGATCCTTATAGAAATATCAATCTTATCACATTTCTCGTGAACTTATAAGTAAAAAAAATTCTTATACACAAAATGTCCAATTCTTTCATTGTTTATATATTAAATTTTATAAAATGAATGTCAATCTAATGAGCACATGAGAATTTATCTATACAGAGTAGATGATGTGATTGGAATAAATGTAAAAGAATATATTATAACTCGTATTTAGTGAGGAACAAAAATAATAGAGTACAAAATATTTAAAGGTTAAAAAGTAAAGAGTGAGTTGGAGATGTTGTAATAAGATAAACGGTAAGTCTAAAATGACACCAGTGCTACTGGTGTCATTTGCTTACACAAATTCGTTTGGGGTACCTACGGTGCCCCGTTTGTAAAAACGACGATTCTTAACCCCCCTAACCCTCCCCCTAAACCCCCCACCCCAGCCCCACCCTTGCCCCCCCACCCTTGCCCCCCACCCCAGCCCCCCTCCCGCCCCCTCCCTACCGTGGCAGTACTGCCAGGGTAGGGAGGGGGGGCTGGGGTGGGGGGAAAGGGTGGGGCTGGGGCTGGGGGGTTTAGGGGGAGGGTTAGGGGGGTTAGAAACCGTCGTTTTTACAAACGGAGCACCGTAGGTACCCAAACGAACTGGTGTAAGCAACTGGTGTATAAGTAACTGGTGTCATTTTAGACGCTTCCTAAGATAAATTAACTTTGGAAATATTAATAGTAGAACTGGCGAAAATCACCGGGCATATTTTTTACCTAAGACCCAATTCAAAAATACTAAGTTTTGAATAATAGTTTGTTGATCGAATCCGAAGTTGATCAAACTCAAAGTGACCGACTCAAAATAGATTAATCTTGATCAGACCTTAACCTGACCTGACCGATCCATAATGTAAATTTTTTTCAAAATCATATACTTTATTATGAAAAATAAAATTATGAAAATACAATTATAATTATATTTCTTTTTTACTATTCATTTTTAATACATAAATTTATATTCTCATACAACATTATAAAGATATCACATAATTATCTTACTTTTTCACAAAATTTCTACAAATTTAGTTTTTTTATTCGTAACATTGACACCGGATCATAAAAATTAAGGAATACGAAGTACTTAACATTTAAAAATATAAATAAAAGTCATAACTTGTACGACCCAAACTCAATGACACTGAATCATAAACATGCAGTTCTTATCCTGACATGAACTTTTTTCGAATCTGAATTGATCGAATCCAAGTTCGACCTCACCCATCGATTTGCCGGCTCTAGTTAATAGTAAATGTAAAAACCATGGTTTAAATAATCTCAACCCTAGTCATGACGGATTCGGGTCAATTAATACCCAATCACCTTCTTAACGCTTGACATTAGTCTCCAAATTCAATCAAGAAATCAAAATTCAATCCAAAATGAATCAACAACCGCTATCGAATCACAGCATCAGATCTAGAAGAAGAACACAGAAAGAAGCGATTCAAAAAGTGAAAGGAAGGCAGAAAAAATCAAAATTGTTATGAGCATTCGGGTACATTAATGGAGTTTTGTAGGAGCGGGGAAATGGGGAAACACAGCTTACGGCGTCGATCGGTCGGAGTTTGAGGAATCGTCGTCGGAGAAGAAGAGTTTCTGTTGCTGGGCCTCTGCTCTCTGGAGGAAGGGCTTGAGACCGAGTTGCAGAGTCAAGTATCCGAAGGCTAAGGCTCCGATCACAACCAAACCAGATCTCATGGCGTTCATCTTCGCCGTCTCCTTCATCGCTTCTTCCTCGCCCTCCCTCTTCTGTGCGCTTGTCTTGGTCTTTCGACTCTTTGAGAGGTTTTTGGGCGGATCTCAATACCCATTTAAGTTGTCTCTACTGGCGCTAAATGGATAACCGAAAATTCAATTACCGTTCGCATCCGTATCCGTTCATATGGAAAATATCTGCATCCGTTAAAAGCGGTTATTATTCGTATCCGATTAATGATATCCGATTGCTAAACGAATACGAATTCGGTAATCACACATCCGTTTAAATAATCGTTTATCTGTGTATCTGATCCGTTATATATAGTTTTTCTTATTTTTTTTTATTTTTATATTTTGTTTCTCTATTGATATCTCAAAGTATAAGATATTTTTATATGCAAAATATATGTGTAGACACAAAAAAATATGTGTAGACATATAAAAATATGTGTATATATCTAGTGTGTATATCTTTTTATGATATGAAATCATCGTAGAATATCATAAACTATAAAAAATAAGAAAATAACTATCCCATAAAAAATTATAGTTGGTTTAATAATATTTTGATTTAGTTTAATTGAAAAATAAAGTATTGTTTGATTTGGTCTAAAAAATTGGAAACGGATACAGATATATCCGATATCCGACCGATATCCAGAGAATGCGGATACGGTTTTGATTTTCAGTATCTGTCAAGATCCGTATCCGAATTCGATATCCGACAAAAATAAACGGATACGGATTTGGTAAAGGCACATCCGATCCGATTAATATCCGTTTACACCCCTAGACTCTCTACACAATCAAATTTTAATCAATTTTTATTTCTTATTTTTATTATTCGTTTATAAAATAATATAGTCATCTCACTATTTATTTTATAAAAAATTTTATGTAATTTTTAAAAATATAAATTTTAGTTTTTAATTCTACTCCAAATTTTATATAAATTCATTTTAAAATAACTTAAGTCAAACAATGTAAACAACATGCAACTTAAAATGAAAAAGAAGAAGTAATTTTGAGATCTGGTATACACCAAGTTGTACACTGCTCCCTTCCCCACTATATATTTTTTACAGAAAATTATTCTGAGGTATCCTCAATTTTTTGGCAACGTCTTCCACGCCCCATATTATCTAAAATATACTCCGGGGTAGCTTTGACTTTCTGGTAAGTGCTCTCTGATTTCACATTTTTTGAAATATACTACGGGAGTTCTTAAAATTAGTGTTAATGTACTCATTGGGTACATTTGGTCTATTTGACCGTTAAGAATAAAAGTTTTGGTACTTTGGAAAATATTAAATTTTACCATCATAATCATTATTTTATAAAATTTAAATAAAATCTTTCAGCTTTTCAAAGTAAAAAATTTTTCAATCTTAACGCCTAAATGGACGGAATGTACCCTTGAAGTATAATATCAAAAATTTTAAGGACCCCGAAGTATATTTCGGTTAATGTGGGACCTGAGAGTTTTTACCAGAAAATTGAGGGTGCCCCAAAGTATATTTCAAATAATGTAAGACCTGAGAGTCATTATCATAAAATCAAGGATACCCTAGAATAATTTTATGCACTTTTTATCTAAGATTCAAAAAATTGAATTCTCGAGTAGAAATATGTGTTGGGAAAAGAGTGATGTACAATTTGGTAAATTACAAACATTTTTTATAAAAAAACATAAATAAAAGTATAAACCCAAATATGATAGAGTATTTGGAAAAATTGGAAAAATGGAACTCGTACATGTATGTGAGTATGTGATACAATTTGATAATAATTAGTCTTATTGAATATTTGAAGGGTACATTTGTATTTATAGAGATTTCTTGAGAGAGTTCTAATCATAGTGGGAGAAAAAGTATGGTAATAATACAATAAGAAAAGTAATATAATAAGGAAAGTAATTAAATATAATATTTATTTCCTATCATTTAATATTTCTAATATCCCTAGCAAGCTAATTATCGGTAACAAGGAGCAGCTTAGATCACATGTCTTAGAATTGAGCTGGCAGAAACAGTTTTGTGATGATACCTCTAGAAGTAGAGAGTTAGATCTTTGTTACATGACGAACATGTTTGAAATTACGTATGCTGAGTTTTTTTATAGTGAGAGTGTTGGCGATTGGAGCAATGACGGAGAATTTCTTTTTTTCTCATTGTGGACCGTTCTATGCTTCTCTATCGTTTTTCATGCTCTCGATCTCTAAAAACACAGACAAATGCAATTTTTTTCTTTATTTAATCACGTACATAATTTTTCCCAGGAGAGAGAGAGAGAGATAATGATTTTTTTCTTGATAGAAAGAAAGGGATAATGAACGGTGGCTGTTAGGCACGCTCGTCGAGATCGGTTGGTGTGCCATATTTTCGAGCAGTCAGTCGCCATGAACAAAGACAAGTAACGTGCTCAGTCAGAAAAGGAATGATTAGGTTTTTGAGAACCTTAGCTCCGATATCATAATATAATTTCATAATAATTGATCTTATAAAATATTGAAGAATAGATCCCCATTTATAGTAATTACATGAGAGAGTTTTAATCATAGTAGGAGAACAACTATGGTAACAATACAATAAGAAAAATAATATACTCCGTAATAAGGAAAGTAATTAAATATAGTATTTATTTTCTATTATCTAATATTCCTAATAGTATGATATGCATATTTTACCTACATAAGTATAATATCCGATTTTACCGCGTATGGAGAGGCTTTAGCGTGGAACTCCACACCTCTTTTATGTTTTTTTAAATGTTTTTTGATGAAGAGGTAAAAATGTAAAGGTCTTTTTTATATATAAAATAAAGAATAAAAATAATTTTCAATAATCAAAACAGATAAAAAAATGTTGAAAGGGATAAAAGTAACGTTTTGTCACTGTAGAATTTGTCACTCAACTCATGTAGCACTTTTGGACTAGATTATATTTCACCCTTTCCGTCCCCTTAAGATTTTTCTTGTTTTGACTTTTTATAATTTTTGAGAATTAAAAAAAGGGGAAAGTCCACCAAAACATCCTCAATGAAAATAGGTAAAGTATATAAAATGAGGTGATTGGGGTGTAATAAATAAAGTAATGATAGTTCTAGTGTTTTAAATGTTAAAAGGTAATAAAAAGAGAAATCATCCTAAATAGAACTAAAACATAAAGAAAAGTACTAAAATAGGACTTTCATGTTTTTTTCTCGAAATAGGACTTCGCACTGTGGTAATGTGGCATTGTACATGTGCTCATTATTATACTATTTGGTAATGTACATAACCATTTTTGTAGTGTAAATGCATTTTAAGTCATATTTTGATATATTTTCAATGTTTTAGTCATACATTGATTTCCCCACTGAAAACATTGGATAAATAAAAAGGGTTAATGAGAAAATGTATGGGAGACGGCAGTAGTGGATCCAAAATTCGAAGAAACGGAGGGGGGGGAGACTTCTGCCGGGTTTGGGGCACAACACCCATTTTTTTTCAAAAAAAATGTGAAATTACAAAAATAAAAAAATATCTTTTAAAAAATATTGAAATAATTAATAAAAAATCTAAAAGTACTCCCTTGAAAATTATTTCTCTTAATAATTTTTATTTTCATATTACTTTTTTGTTATTTTAGATATTTTACATTTAATTTCTTTTATTTTACATTATTCTTACTTTTTCATACCCTACCTATCACATCATACTTTTTCTCTAATAATCTATCCATCACATCTTATTTTTATCCATCACATCAGGGACAAAATTAGAAATCAACTATAATTTAATACTTCCTTATTTTTGCCCCAAATCAAAATGAGAAGTCTTTTTGCAAACGGAGTATAATTTTTGAGAAAATATCAAAATATGAGTCATAAGTCTTTTAAGACAAAAACAAGAGTTCACACTGTCATTGTAACACTGTCACATTGCAACTGTACACTATCACCAACACACTGTCATCCGTCGTTATCGGTCACCAGAGTGCCGTCGCAGCTCACCGATGGTTGGCTGATCACACTAACATATTACACTATGATCATTTTTTACTACACTGTCAACGCGTACTCTTACACCAACTATCATTATACTATTATTGTGGTCTTAAAAGACTTAACATTCATATTTTAGTATTTTAATATTTTTTACATCTATTCAAAGATATTTCTTATCATTTTTTGGCGGTGGCATTTAATTTTTTATGATGGGACATAGCTAATTATTTTTTTTAATTAGGATATTCTTTTAAAAAATTAAAAATTCTATTGGGGGACAATTGCCCCCATTAATCTCTACTTAGATCGGCCAATGGAGGACGGAAAGAGTATTAGTTAAAATATGATGGTATATAATATTTCAATTTTGTCTCACCATTCCCATACTCTAAAAAAGATATGAGCTATACCATCATGAAATAATATCACATACACCTTCCAACTAGAATTGAATTTTCCATTTTAATTTATGAGACTTAACTAGTTTTATTTCAAATCAATATATTTGATTGTACGCATAAATTCAAAAATATAATCTATGCATTTCAAAACACACAATTTCTTCTAAAAAATGTGACATGACTATTTTAGTATGAAATGATAGTAAAAATGAATAAACAAAGTAAATAAAATTTGATTGTGTAAATAACATCTAAACGATTATATACACAAAAAAACATTATGTAGAAGAAAAAAGATTGGAATAAAAAATCAGTCTATTGAAAAGTAAACACCATGGTAGAGATTTTATTATTGGAGTGAACAAGAAGAGAGCAATACACATATAGCCCATCTCTATTTACAATGGCGAAGGTGAAACAACCAACCAAACAAACCTCCAAATATAAGCAGCTCCTTAAGCACTATATAGTACAAGTAATATACAAACACAACATGACTTCGATTATCGATCCTCTCATATACATACATACGTACATACATACATATATATACATACATACATATATATATACATACATACATACATATATATATATATATATATATATGCATCTATTTATATGTATACACACAGACACACATATTAATATATATACCTCACATCACTTGTAGAGACACATCTCTATTTTGTGGCTGCAACAACAGCTGCCCCTCCCTCCACCTGCAATCACAATACTCAAATTAAAATAAAATAACATAGTAGATAAGTTTCTCCATGCTATAAAAGCCCAACAAATAATGTTATCTAGAGCTATATTAAAATGAAGACTCCCACATAGAACTTCAAATTTAGAATTTGAAATCTAGACAACAAGGATAAGAAGTAAAAAAGAACATGGCTAAATATTTACTCTTGCTTGAGCTTGGGACATGTTTCTAATTAATATGAGAAAGAGGGGAAGGGTCACACTATATGCACACCAAGGATGACACTAGATATGACACCATTGTGTCTCACACAGACAATAACCGTGTATGCGAAGAACTGTCTAGTGTCATAGTTGGTGTGACTATAGCCTTTCCTAAAAATAAATTATTTGGATGACAAGTGAGGTACAGTGGAAGGGATAAGAGCGTGTGGGTGATTTGATCCACTTTAAGGCCAAAGATCTGAAATCATATCATCTTGTGAGGTGTCTCTTATCTGATTGATTCATCATGTCTCTCTCACTTTGATAGCAAAATTTGTACAAAATGGTCACTTTGTCCCTTGTCACTTTTCATTATCTTGGCCCACCCACTGGCCACTACTATAGTCCTTGCATTTATCCATCCTCCCATAATAAAGTTTATTGATTTCTAAACAATTCTATAAATTAAAACAATGAATTTAATTTGGGGATGAAGAGAGGGGTACCTAACTACTTAGGTACATTAATTGAAATGAAAAAACATTAGCCAATATATCATTCAAAATCTCATTTTCAAGGGTGGCCAATTCAATTCTCTCATTTTTTAGATATTTTTCTTTACTTGACTAAAAAGATTATGCAAATGAGTAATACCAAAATCAAAGCAAGTTTATAATCATATATCATAGTCTTACCATAAACTTGGCTCCCCAAATTTCTTCTTCTGGAGCTGGAATAGCAGTGATCTTGCTCTTGGGATTTTCATAGCATTTCAGTTCTCCAACTGCTGTGGAGAAGAAGCACCCTACAAAATTCATCAACAATTCAACCAAATTACTACATGCATCAAGAAACATATATACGCACTTCACCAATTCAACTAAAAGTTCAAACTAATGGGTGAAAACCTTTAATTAGGGATAAGATCACACAATTTGTTGGGGATTCCTCCAAGTCCCACACTGGAGGGAGAAGAAAAAATGGACCAAAATATATAGGTTCACCCAACCCCATTAGTATGAGGCCTTTTGGGAAGTGCCCAAAACAAATCCGTGAGGGCTTGGCCCAGAGCGGACAATATCATACTAATGCGGGGTTGGGGTGAGGGCACGCGCAGTCCCAACACAATTTTACACGATACAATATTTTGTATAATCTTAAGAGAGCATATAGAGCCACTACCTTGGGGGAAAGAAGCAAGTGACTTCCCGCAAGCGGTCTTGAGAAGGTCGGCATCGTCCGCAAACGCCACACACCCGTCGGCAGTGATCCCCCAATAGAGAGGCACCTTCCCAAATTGGTCCTACACATTACACCAGACATCCTCAATTTTAATACTACAGGATTTTGCAAAGGCAAACGTGTCAAGAAACTAACTCAACCAAAATCTATAGGCACTTACGGTTGCGACAAACAGAGAGGAGGTGGACTTGTCGAAAACTATGAAGGCAAAGTTGCCCTCAAGGTGCCCTACGACATGGTTTGCAGGGTAAGGTGCCCTGTCTCGAAGGGCCTTGTAGGCTTCGATGACCAAAACCACCTCATTCGCCGGCTTTCCGAGCCCGTATTGCTGCCTCAAACTCCCCAGGTTGGTAAGTGATCCGGCAAACAAGCAAAAGACTTCATCTTTCACCGCAAAAAGTCTGGTATCCATTCATTCATTCATTCATTTTGGTCACCATATATGAGTAATAATTGCAGAATTTTTTTTTCCCCGGTTGAATTGGTTCTATACATTCACGAATATGATTCAATTGCAATTTGCCAGTACTTCTTAGTATATTGGGTATGTAAATCTAAGCTGAAATCAAACATAAATCCGAGTAATTTCAAGTAAATTTTTCGCCCCTAAGCTTGGATCTGTATGTAGTACCTGGGCTGCAAAGCGGACTGGTTGGAGTGAGAGTAAGCGAACTGCGCATCGTCGCCGATCTGGACGGAAACCGCCGACGGTTTGGTCTTGAGGAAGAGCTTTACAAGAGCGTCGGCTGTGGTCTTCGGCGACGGCGTCCGGCAACCGGCCGCCACCAGCTCCTCCGGCGGAGCAACCACCGATCTGCTGAACACACCTAACATTTTCTCTCTCTAAAACTAATTGATTAATTGACACTAATAATAATGACACTTAAATCACCGTCGCATGCTCCTTCTCTCTCTATAATTATGGACACGGGGGAGAAATCAAGGAAGGTGAGTGATTAATTTATATGGGGGACAAAGTGTGAGGCTATACTTGTAATTTCACATGCACATTTTATTTTTGTAAAATAAAGCTTGGGCGCCGCATGTGAAGTTTTTGTCTTCCACTTTCCACAAAATAAATTTGAAAAAATAAATTTTAAATTTATCTTTTTTTAATCTTCTTACAAAAACACCAATATTTGGTTTTTTATTTTGAAATAAAATATTCCGTATGTATTTAATATGGAGTACATTTTTTTTCTAATTAGATTCTAATTATTTACTTTTTATTCTCCAATATTTTTTACAGTTCTATAAAGTTAACACCACCAAAATTTGTCTAGGAGTGAGGGCATTCGTATTCCCTTCATCCCAAATTAGTTGTGCTTTTACTATTTATGTTTTCCAATATATTTTATTTATGTATGCATTTTTATCATTTTTATAAATATTTTTTCCCTCTTCCAAATATTTATTTTTTTTGTTTTTTTTCCTCTGCGACTTCTCTCCCAATTTGTGCTCTGGTTCTTCTCCGATCAACAGTAACTTTGCAAAAAAGGAAAACCCATTTCATCCTACAAATTTTTCTCTATATTATATAGTCCACAACTTTATTTCTCTACTTTTTCATTGATCTAATTTTTCCCCCCTACTTTATATATGATAAAAATACCTCTAAAATTAAAAGAATTTTTTTTATTGTATTGTGATTAATTAGACCAACTATGTTGTATGTAACAGATTGTTAAGCAGCATAGAATGAACATGAACACAAGATTAGTATAATGAGTAGTCATACACATAATAATAAAATAAAGAATGAAGATATGCGAGTTAAAATTGGGGTGATATCTATTATAAAAGAATCTTTACCATCATTTTGCTATTAAAATTTAATTTACATTCTTCTAGTGACAGACTGTTTATCTTTTTTTTCAAATAAAAAATTGTGACTTTAATCATGAGAGATGCCTTATAAGAATTTAATAGTGAACGGGGGAGGCGTTGTCATCATAAAAATTTGGATTATACGGAGTATGCGTATATCTTACGGAGTATTCATTAATATAAAAAAAAGAAAACAGGATAATATTTCCAAAAATTGGTGCCGTAGAACGCAGTAAAACGACGCCGTGACCCATGCTTTGGGCAAACTTCCCCTTGAATTAAGCACCACCTGGCCCCATCAATCCCCACTCAAAAAAAAATCAATAAAATATTATGAGCCCGGTTCCATGGCCACTGGATTCCAGTGGTCATAGGAGCCACTACCTCCCTACGGAGCTCCGTTCATAAAATTGATGATTCCTACCCCCTCTAACTCCCCCGGTAAACCCCATGCCAAGTCCCGACCCAAACTAATCACCTCACCTACGTCAATTGCACTCCTTAAGTATAAAGTCAAAACTTTTGACTTTAAAGTCAATTATACTTACGAGGTGCAATTGACGTAGGTGGGGTGATTAATTTGGATCGGGACTTGGTGGGGGATTTACTGGGGAAGTTAGAAGGGTAGGAATCATCAATTCTATGAACGGAGTTCCGTAGGGGGAAGTGGCTTCCGTGGCTTCTGGAATCTAGTGGCCATGGAACCGGGCTCAAATATCATATCCCAATTCGAATATTATAACCCGTCACAAAATATATTTTCTTGCCAAAAAAAAAGTATTGCATAGTAGTTTAATAATAATTCCATTACATATATCCTGCAAAAAAAAGTTTTATAAAAATTACTCTATAATATTGATATGGGATGTGAATTTTATTTACGATTAAAAATATAAATAATGTGTCTAGAGAAAAATAAAATCGAAAAAATTAAATTGTAAAGCCAATCGAAACGCAGAATACTACGGGAGTAATGTATTAAAAGAAAATTAATGCCCGGAAATGATTAATCTTATTGCACGACAAAGTATGTAATTTCCCGCCAGTAATGTAATTTGAAACGGAGTAATTAATGAATTAATAGAAATGGAGTAATTAAATTTTAAGTATGAGCATGACGAGCAGCAGTGGCAGGAGGTGGAGGCAAGCAAGACCAGCCTTGGAGTCGCACGAGCCGGTAAAAGGAAACGCCGGCGACGGCGCCGCCCGTCGGAGCGACGACGTAAACCCACAAATCCTTATCGAAACTCCACGAAGCAATTGCTGGCCCTAATGATCTTGCCGGGTTCATTGACCCGCCCGAAACTGGCCTGTAAAATTATTATGAATTTCAAATTAATCAAAACTACTTACAAAATATTTTTAATTTATAAGTCAGCTAATGACATATTCTTCTGTGTTTATAAACTGATTTATAGGTTGCTTATCAGCCAGAAAAATAAGTAGAACTAACGCACTTATTTTTAAACTATTTTTTCCGAAACTCTGTTTTAACCAGGTTATTTACAATGCTATTCCTTATGAAAATTCCCAAACGACATATTTATCATTTAAGTCATTTTACTTCGAAACAAGTATATTTAACTTTTAAACAACTTATAAGTTCAAAACTAGTTATCAACAATAAGTAAGTAAATAAACACCATCAAAGAAAAGCACTCACTACATCTCTAAGGTTCTTTTAACCTTTGAACCTAAACGTCGTAATATGACATTGGACACCTACAATACTTCTGCCCCTATTCCGTCCCCTTATTTGTGAATTTGGCACCGTCAAATCAGCGATCGAAGAGCCGGGGCAGAAAGTCAGGATGCAAACGGAATATCTTAAGTATTCATGCAACATTATGATATTATCTCCGTCTACCATAAATTTTCCCAAACACTATTCTCATGGTCAAACTTTACTTACTTTGTTTGCTTATTTTTACTACTCATTTCATAAAATAATATAGTGTTGTCACCTGTACTTTTGTAGAATTTTTCATATACTTTTTTACTATATAATTTTTATTTTTGAATTTTATTCTTATAATCAAATAAATTAAATTAAAAATAAAGTCGGTCAAACTTCGTAACGCGCAATGAGAATATCTTTAGTAGAGGGAGGAAATATTAGATTTTAGGGTCAAAACAACTTTAATCACATTCTAAAGTGCAAGCTATGACAGCTGGAAAATCATCACATGTAACAAATCAAAATTATGATTAGTGGTTGCTTTACAGCCCTTACTTAAATTAACATGTTTAAACGGCAAACAATGTAAGTCAAAAAGAAGAAGGGTCTATTTAAAAATCGCGTTACAGATTAATGTTAACGTTTTGAAAATGTTATTTAGCGTTGACATTTTTAAAATAATCTACACCGTTAAAATTTTATTTAAATCTCTAACGCTATTCCTGAACATGCCCCAAGAAAGAATGGAGTAGAATATTTTATTACCCAGTGATTAGCACTCCCAGACCGATGGATACTCCAACAATAAATCCTCCCAATTTCCCTGCCTGAAAAATATAGTTTTCATTGTTAGTAGTTCATATATATTACTCCGAGAAGTATTCACTCCTTCCATTCTGGAAAAAAAAAATAATTGTACTATTGTGCAAAAATCACGAGAAAATTTGTTTATTTGTGAATTTCGTTGATTTTTCGATAACATTAAATATTCTTGTCAAATCTTATTTTGTAAAATTTTTGACATAATTTTTAAATCTGTAATTTTTTTTAATTCTATAGCTTGAAATAAAATAAATGAAAAAAACTAGAAATTTTGTTTCTTGCACAAAGTGCAAAACATTTTAGGATTGAAGGAATAATGAATTAATGAGTGTCTTCATTTGAGCCAACCGGAGTAGTTTAAAAATGACGTAAGCAAAAGCATCAAAATTGATATTAGTGCATCGTTTAAATTAGAATAAATTCTCAAAATAATCCTCTCTAATAAGATGTTTTCCTAAATCAGTCTTCAATAAGTTTTAATTATCTAAGTGACCCTCTATAATTGAGATTCATTTCCAAGATAGTCTTTCGTAAATAGTGTTACTCAAATGCTGATTAATTGGGGAGTATTTTGTTATTTTTTATCTGCTAAATTTAAAACATGTTCTTAAAATGATCATTTCTAATGAAGTGCTTTTCCAAAATGATTTTTTCTAATTAAAGATGTGTATTTGATTTAAAATTTAAAAGATTTTTTTTATAAGTTTTTAATAAGTACTGCACATATTGTTTTTTTTTGTAATTCACAAAATAAATCAAAATGGACTTTGAATAGAGGGAGTGACTTACAAATTGAGGATCATTAGATAGAGAAGAAGCCACAAAGAGAATCATGAAGGTTGCCATGAACTCCACCCAAAATGCTCCATTGCATCCATGCAGTGGTTTTGTCATCATATGCTCATATCCAACCCCATATACCCATCTTCCTGATACTGTGGCCAACACAGAGCCTCCCACTTGAGCCATAATGTAAAAGGGCACCTTCAAGTTCAACACAATTGATATATAAGATGGAGCCAAAGATTCGCTATTTTTCGGCTTAAGGGTAAGATGGAGTAAAGCAAAATGACTTTTTAGACTGTCTGTGCTTCTTTGTGTTTTTATGTACTGGTGCTTATTGGCTTATTGTTGATAAGCAGTTTTTAACTTATAATGTTCTTGTAAGTCAAATATTCTTTTGTGAAAGTAAAATGACTAAAACGATAGATAATTTATTTAGAAATATTCATAAATAGTGAGGGACGGTTTTGTAAATAATCTAGTCAAAACCGAGAAACAAAAAAATTGGAGTAGGTAAAGCTAACTTATTTTTCCTGGCATATAAGCAACATTTAAATCAGCTTATAAGCAGAGAAAAACATGTCATCAGCTAATTTATAAGTTAAAAATTGCTTATAAGCAGTTTTGACTAGCTTATAAGCACAGAGAAACACTCAGGCATATTCTCCAAACCCTCTAATGTGGGATTTGGGGTTTGCACCCCAACAGGACACAACAACAACCACAAACTTAGTAAAATCTCACAAAAAAAACATGGCTTCACAACAAGATGTTAAAGTAAATTACCTTGGGCCAAGGAAAAGGGCCAATTATTGCAAATGCTAATGTAACAGCAGGATTGAGGTGAGCTCCAGAGATAGGCCCAATAGAGAAAACTGCAACAACCACAGTCAAACTAGCAGTAGTTGCATATTCCAGCAACCCTATTTGAATTCCCATCAGCTGCAAGTTTGATATTATCCCACATATACAAAACACTATCATGTATGTCCCCAATGCTTCTCCCATAATCTGCACCTCAACACAATAATATATAATGTAAACCCATAATCTGAAAAATAAAAAAAATTGTCACCATCTTTGTTAAGAACTGACACTTGCATCGTTCCCAATGTTATTAAACAAGACAGGCCAGAAAACCGACATGCCCACCGAGTCCCGGGTTTTCCCACGTCAAAATGATTTTCTGGGTTTTCCCGCGTCAAAACGATTTTCCGGGTTTTGCAGATTCGGACCAGACCGGTTTGGTGTCCAATTCGACTGAATATAAAAATACAAATGAGCATATAAGATTGTGGACTTCTCCAACTATCAAGCTGCTCCTTTCAAAGTATATCAATTGAAGTCTTCATTACTTCGTATATACTCCTTCCGTCGTACAACAATATTTATTCTTTCCTTTTTGCCAGTAAAAAAAAAATCATTTTCGTTATAAGAAAAAGAATATATGGCTCAGAAAATTTCAACCATGCTTTTATTTGCTTTTCTTAAATATAGAAAATTTTTATGGGACACAAGCACTAGTTTGAATCAAAGGTCTATCTTACTTGGCGGGTGAGGAATAGGTCAAAGTGAGGAAAGAGGCTGCCAAGACTTCTTCCCTGGGTCTTGACTTCTCCATTGCCACTAGAAGTTGCTGCATTGGACTTCATTTCTTGAGACAACCTCTCGCACGAAGACGATGATATAGTCTTAATGCATACATTGAAAGGAGGATGGTCTCCATCTTTCGAGGACGTTTTCATCATTTGATATTATTGTGTAGCTAGCAACAAGTTTCACAGGATATGTAGTGAATAGGCTTTATAGATCTTAGTATTATCCCAAAGCGGTGCAACAAAAAAAAATATGTACATATATTTCTTCATATATAATAAATATATATAGCGGTGTTAGTATTGTGTAGGGATGAGCTAGTAAGGCTGTTTTGAGTTTGTTTGTTTTTTCTGTTATATGTATCTCTCATTGTTTAGGTTTTTTTAATGTGTGCACATTAAAGTGAGAGCCCAAAGATGGGAAAGTTCAATTCTTTGACTCAACATGACATTCATGTGTTGCACTCAAACTGTGGTGAAAGGTTGCTCATGCTTCTTCGATGTCTGGCTTTCTGTACATTTAAGTATGAACTTTTTTTAATAAAAAAACGTACTCATTCGCTTTGTCACTTCCCTCTCACATGTGAGGGATCTCTATCTGGTAGAGACCCACCTACATATGAGAGGGAGTGTAGTAAAGTGTGACAATGAAAGTGTATTTTGAAAACAAAAATGTTTTAATAATTCCTTTTTTAATAACAAATGACTCTAAGTGTTGTATTTAAGAGGTTCCAATCGATTCGAGGGTTCGGTCAGATCCCTTCTGTCAAAATCACCCTCATCGAAATTCTTTTTTTCTTCGAGGGCATTGGGGATCTCCACAAAGGGCATCTGGTCCTTCAATTTACAAGCCCAACACTCAGATCTATTGGAACCTCTTAAATCCGTGACATCCTAAAAGTTCTAGTTAGCAACGGGCACTACTCACCGAGGTCAACGATGTCTTCTAAGGATATACGGTTCCTCATTTTGGGTCCAGTACACTTTATAGCTTGTTCTTTTCCCCTGGCTACAGGCAGCAAAAATATTTGACAACAAATGGGTGTCAAGATTTAGTCACCATTTAGCCCTCCGTCTTTGCCTGCAGCCTCATCACAATATCACAACTCCCAATAGAAGAAAAGAATTGTTCTTGGTGTTGTACAAACCAATTCCTCCCAAAACCCAGTAACTTCTACCTCAGTCCTCACTATGTATCACAGAACATTATAATATCAGGGTCCCAATTAACATTGTCCCTCATTAGAATCATCAAGTCTTTTAGTATAGAACGAATATCACGAGCACGAGGATGGGCCTCATCCCCTGCAATAAACAGGTTTGACTCTTCTCCCACGACGATCCAACTGCAGCCTGGCAATTTCTTCACTCCCTTCTCTCGCATCTCCCTCCTCAATGAGTTAACTTCCCGCCAATTCCCAGACGCGGCATATATGTTTGAGAGGAGAACATATGGGGCAGAGTTATGAGGTTCTGATTGTATGAGCTTCTCCGCAGCACGTTTCCCTCTAGTTTCATCTCCATGTAACCTGCAAGCCCCAAGCAATGTGGCCCACACCTTTGGATCAGGTTCGAATTTTAATTGGTCAATGAAGAGCTCAGCTTCTTGTAGATACCCCCAGCGCCCGTAAAGGTCAACCATACAAGCGCAGTGATCAGCTCTTGGTTTAATGTTGTAGTGATTCACCATCTCGTGATACACTTCACGGCCCTCTGACACCCAGCCTGCATGACTACAAGCTGTGAGAATGCCGAGGAATGTGACATCATCCGGAAAACATGAACCTCCCAATTGCTTCATCTCACTGAAAATCTTTAGGGCTTCTCCAGCAAAACCATTCTTGGCAAGCCCAACAATCATAGAATTCCACGACACTACATCGTTTTTTGTGACCATGTTGTTGAAGACTTGAACAGAACTGTAGACCTCCCCACACTTCGCGTACATGTCTATTAGAGCAGCACTGATCAGCTCATCTGAATCGAAGCCTGTGCGAAAAACAAGTGAATGGATTTTTCTTCCATCTGGCAACGAAGAGGAGACTGCGCTTGCCTTTAGAATGCTAGCAAATGTGGCTTGATCTGGCATAACATTGGAATTTCTCATTTCCTGGAAACATTGCAGAGCCTCTGCATTGCAGTCGATATGATTATATCCCGAGATCAGAGCAGTCCATATTATTTTGCTTTTTGGACTGGGAAACTCTAAGAAAAGTCTACGGGCATCTGCTTTCTCCCGAACGTTCATATACATTCCTATGAGAGAAACACCCAGGAGGTCCTCATAACACCGAAGGCCATTCTTCAGTACAAGACAGTGGATTTGCTTTCCTAGGTATGCTCTTTGAGGATCATCACAAGCGTCCAAAAGGCTTGCAAATGTAATGGTTGATGGCTTCAACCCTATCACTCTCATCTCATTGGTTAAATTAATTGCTTCCCCCAAATCATTTTTAGCGTACCCAGCAATCATAGCATTTAGTGAAACCACACTGGGACAGGGCATTTGTGAGAGAACATCACGGGCTGCCCTGATATCTCCACATTTTGAGTACATATCTATGAGAGAGCTCGCAGTGTAGAGGCTCGTCTCAAGACCCAACTTGACAGCCATGCAGTGGAACTGCTCTCCTTGTTCAAGTGCTAGAATGCTAGCACATGCACTCAAAATGCTGGACAAAGCAACCTCATTGGGGAAGACACCAGAAGAATTCATTTGCCTGAACATATCTAATGCATTGCCCTCTTCTCCCTTCTGGGCATATCCAGCTATTATTGTATTCCATGATACATTGTCCCGAATTTTCAATTGTTCAAATTGCTTGCTTGAGTCCGTGAGAGCCCCACACTTCGCATACATATCTACCAATGCATTTCCAATGCACAGGTTTGCCACAAGATCCTTCTTTATAATAAGGCAATGCAACTGGCGACCTGCTTCTAAGGATTCCAAGCTAGCAAGCGCACTCAAAATGCTGGTGTACGTATATTCATCGGGTTGAAACCCACACTGTTCCATCACTTTAAGCAGTTTGATAACCTCATCAGGATATCCATTCTGGCAATAACCTCCGAGCATTGAGTTCCATAAAATGGTATTTTTCTCGTCTAGTGCATCGAAAATCTTCTTAGCAGATGCCACTTCCTCACACTTGGCATAGAAATTAACCAAGGAACTTCCTACATAAACATTATCTGTCAACCCCAATTTGATTGCCTCTGCATGGACTAGAGAGCCGAATTCAAGAGCTCCGAGACCAGCAATGGCACTAAGCACACTGCCGAACGTGGACCTTGTTGGTTTTATGCCCGACTTTCTCATATTAGCAAACATGTGCAGAGCATCCAACTCCAAACCTTTCTTGGCATGACCAGAGATCATCACATTCCATGCCACAACATTGGGCCTTGGAATTTTAGAGAAAAACTCATGTGCCTCATTTAGCCTTCCTAGACGAGAATATGCATTGATTATGGTGATGGAGGTCACTTGATCAGGAACAACACCAAATTGGAGCATCTTGTCATATAGTTGAATCCCTTCTTCTAGCAATCGCACTTGAACATATCCAGCAATCATGGCTGTCCAAGAAACCATGTCTGGCTCTACAGCTCCATCAAAAACCCGCCTAGCATCTGCCACAATTTCGCATTTGGCATACATATCAATAAGCGAACCTTCACAAAAACTGCTCCTTTCCCACCCAAGTTTGATCAGATCACAATGTGCTTGCCTCCCGAAGCTCACATTCGTCGTTTTCGCACATGCTGAAAAAACAATGGCATAGGTGAACTCATTCGGCAATACCTCATCCTTCCGAATCAAGCCTAAGAGCCTAATCACACGACCAAAATCTCCCTGCTTTGAGTACATCGAAAGAACTGAGTTCCAAGCCTGGACATCTCTCTCCTCAAGCTCGCCAAAAGCATTCTCGGCAAAGCCCACATCGCCGCACTTGGCATACAGGTCAAGGATGGCATTTCCTAGAGACCCTTTTGTCCCCACTCCGAGTCTCAAGCTATGCCCGTGGATGACTTTGCAGATTCTCCGGGCTTCAAGCCGCTGAGGCATTTCATCGAACAGGTGCCGGGTATTGATTTTCTTGCACTGTCTGAGGCATAATTGGAGCAAAGAATCGCATTTGCTCTCTACAGGAGGAGAAGGATCGAGGTATGGGAAATGGCCAAGCGGCTCTTCTTCAACGGCGGATAAAGTAGACGTGTTGCTGCAACAGAGACGATTTGCAGGGGAAGTTGGTTTCCTGCAGAAATGCCTCGCAATGCGCATGGATTCTCAACTCGGCCAATCAGAGACCAACGCAAAATTGAGAACAGAACTGAACAAGGTCAAATGAAGTTACTTCAATGATTGGGGAAAACCAAGAAATCAACAGTATAGAGAGATTCAGAACAAAACCAGACTTACCTCTCCAAGATGGATGAAACTTCGAATTTTCTAGAATCAACAGTCGGGACCAAGCAATTTGGTTCCTTCTATCCCGTGCTTCTATTCCGCTCTCAGTGAAGACGACGGTGGATGCCGCCGGCCGCTACGGTGGTGGAGTGGAGATACGCCCGCCGTAGGAGGGGACGGAAGACTTTTAGGTTGTTGGGTAATTAAGATGAATTAACAGGGGTAAAATCGATAATTACTTTAAGAATGGGCTTTACAGCCTTTTTGGACGCACAGACCAATATAAGGGCCTTAAATGGCCATTCCAGCGAGATTGGACCACTAAAGTAAATTTGGTCTTAAAATGTGAAAAAAGTTGAAAATAATAAAATAAAAACAAATTTCTTATTTTTACTTTTTTAGTTAAATAGTGACACTTTGATCATAAATTATGAGAAAATATATTTAATTATAGTATAAATTTAAAATAATTGGATTTATCTAGGATATAGTTTTAATATATCAAATTTTTATATCATTTAGTTATTTATGTTATTTTTAATTTATAATAAAAAAGTTTCACTGTTTGACCAAAAAAGTTAAAACATGAAGGGTTTTTAAGACCGGAGGAAGTATATTCTAAGACTTACCAGAGGGAGTATATTCTATTACATGAATGCAACCACAGATGGAAGTCCGAGTTTTGAAGAATAAGTTATAAATTTTTTTTATGTTAATATAAATATGTAATTAGTTTTTTTAGGCGAGCGATATA